ATCCAGTATTTAGCTTTTTCTTGTCTGAGAAGCTCTTTATCTGTCCTTCAGTTCTAAATTATAGCATTGCTGGGTAGAGTAATCTTGGTTGTAGGTCCTTGCTTTTCATCACTTTGAATATTTTGTACCAATCCTGTCTGGCCTGCGAAGTTTCTGTTGAGAAATCAACTGGAAGTCTTATGGAAAAGCAGTTAGTTTCATACAAGGGAGCCCCCATAAGACTGTCAGACGATTACTCAACACAAAGAAACTAATGGTTTTTCTTCTTGATGCTTTTAAATTCTCTTTGTCTTACCCCTTGGCATTTTAATTATTATATGTCTTGGTGTGGGCTTCGTTGGTTTCACCTTGTTTGGGACTCACTGTGCTTCCTGGTCTTGTATGTCTATTTCCTTCACCTAAGGAAGTTTTTCATCATTATTTCTTCAAATAGGTTTTCAATTCCTTGCTCTTTCTCTTCTCCTTCTGGTACTCCTAATATGCAAATGTTGGTACACTTGATGTTATCCTAAAGGCACCTTAAACTATCCTCATTTAAAAAAATTTTTTTTGTCTTTTTGCTATTATGATTGAGTGTTTTCTGGTACCTTTTCTTCCAAATCTCTGATTCCATCCTCTGCTGTTGATGCCCTCTAATGCAGTGGTTCTCAACCTGTGGGTCACGACCCCTTTGGTGGTCGAACGACCCTTTCACAGGGGTCGCCTAAGACCATCCTGCATATCAGATATTTACATTATGATTCATAACAGTAGCAACATTACAGTTATGAAGTAGCAACGAAAATAATTTTGTGGTTGGGTCACAACATGAGGAATTGTATTTAAAGGGCCAGAAGGTTGAGAACCACTGCTCTAATGTAGTCTTCCTTTTTTTAAAACACAGTTGTTGTTTTTTTGAGAGAGAGAGAGAGAGGGAGGAGGAGAAGGAGGAGGAGGAGAAGGAGGAGAGAGATTTGCTGTTCCACTCTAGGCATTCATTAGTTGATTCTTGTATGTGCCCTGACCAGGGATTGAACTTGCAACCTTGCATATCGTGATGACACTTGAACCAACTGAGCTACTTGTAGGGCTCTACTGTATTCTTCATTTCTAACTGGTTCTTTTTTGTTCGTTTTTTTTTTTAATCTCCATTTTTATGTTTCTTATATCTTTGTTGAAGTTCTATTGGGGTCATTGAGCATTCTTATAACAAGTGTTTTGAACTCTGGTAGTTTGCTTGTCTCCATTTTGTTTAGTTCTTTTTCTGGAGTTCTGTTCATTCATTTGCGATGTTTCTTTATCTCTTCATTTAGGCTGCCTCCTTGTGTTTGTTTCTGTCTGTTAGGTAGAGATGCTATGTTTCTCGGTCTTGATAAAGTGACCTCTGTGGGGCCTGATCGCCTGAGTCGGGTGCTCCAGGAGTGTCCTTGTGTGGGTTGTGTGTGCCCTCTTGTATTTGAGCCTTGATTGCTGTTGGCACCTCAGTGGCGGGGAGGGAGTTTGACCCTTGGGCTGATTGGTTGTGAGGAGCTGTTGTGCAGGGACTGACCCTAGGGAGCAGGGTTTGCTTTATTGAGGCTCTTTGGTTGGTGCATGCTGAGCCTGTCCTTTGAATGTGTCATTTGGGTGTGGTTGGGTGGTGCTCTAGTGTGGTCTGAAACTGGCCATTGGGTGGTTTGGTATTGGGCTTCTTGGGAGGTGCAGGCCAAGGTCAACTGCTGCCTGTGCCCTTCTAGGGGCCACTTGATATGAGCTACAAAGTGATCTGTAGATGGTGGCCACTTGTGCTGGGCTTGGAGGTGCCTGGGAGAGGCTAAGCTGTGAACTGAGGCTGGCTGCCACTAGTGCCAGGTTTGGGGCTGGCCAGAAAGAGGTCTTGGGTATGCCAAGGCCCGATGCTACTTGTTTGGGGACCTTTGAGAGATTTTAGGAACGTCTGCAGCATGAGCTAAAACAGGCTGTTTGTATGGAAAAGCCACTGGAAGTGGCTTGGGTGGGTCTGCAAGTTGAGTGGAGCGGGGTTTCTGGGAATCACCAGGGCAGGGTGAACACTTTGCCAGGGTGATGGAGGCTCAGATATGGTGTCTGTCTGCTGCGTGCCTCGTGGAGAAGGGCTCAGAAAAGAAACAATGACCTCTGCCAGCACTTCTGTCTGGGAGAAAACTGCCCCTCCAGCCCTTGCCCTGAAGCCAGACAATTCAGTCCCTCCTTATATGTTCCTTTTGAGCTGCTGCCCCAGTGCTGGAGCTCAGAGTGAATGAGTCCGAGTAAGTTTGTCACAGGCCCTTGAAGAGGAATGCCTGGGACTCCAGCAGCACTCAGCCCTCCATCTCACTCAGCCTATATCTCCACTGGTTTTCACAGCCAGAAGTTATGGGGACTTCTCTTCCCAGCACTGGCACTATGGACTGGGAAGCCTAGTGTGGGGCGGGAACCCCTTGCTCCTCAGGGGGTCCTCTCCAGCTGGATATCTGTCCTGATTACTCGTAGGTGTTGGACCAGCCAGTTCGGTGTCTATGCCCTCCCTACCAGTCTTGACATGGCTTCTTCTGTCTAACCTTAGTTATGGGATTTCTGTTTAGCTAGATTTCAGGTGGTTCTCATTGATGTTTCTGTATTTTAGTTGTAATATTGAAGTGGTTGTGGGAGGAAGTGAGTATAGAGTTTACCTACTTCAGGTTGACTGAAGTAGATAAAGTTTCTTTTGATTTGGTACACCCTTACCATACAAATGGAGATTTCATTTATAAATGTAATATTCCCTTATAAAAGGGTAACTTGCATTCTGTTTTCATAGCTTCTCCTTTGCTATTTCTCAAAGTAATCCATATGCTAAAGAAACATATTTTGGAATGGCATATTTTACCACCCTTCACCTTTAAGGTAGCCAAATAGCTAATTCCCTCACTTCTTTCAAGTCTTTGCTCAAATGTCATTTTCTCAGAGAGGCCTGCCATAACCACTCATTTAAAGATTACAATTGCTTAACCCACATACGGTATACTCCCATCTTTTACTCTGCTTTCCACACTCCCACCCCCACTAGTATGCATAATCTTTTGTCATACGATATAACTGACTTATTTTGTGTATTGTTTATCTTGTCACTAGAAGGTAAGTTTAGGGTGGGGACTTTTGGTGGTTGTTTTGTTTTACTGCCATATCTATCACATAATGAGTGCTCAACAAAAAAATGTTGAATGAATGCACATACTAGGGCTGCTGTACTTTTGAGCTTGTTCTTGTTCAAATTTTTGGGCCCCATCCTCCCAGACTTCTTGAATTAGAAACTCTGGAAATGAGGTCCAACTACTTTGTTTTAACTAGGTCTCCAGGTGAGTCTGATGCAAATAAACTAAAGTTTAAGAACCACTGCTTTGTAATATCGAGTAGGATTTCAGAAGCCAGGCCTTTTGCATGGAGGTGGTGATATGTAGATATTTGAGGTAATTGACAAATATTACTGAGTTTGTCCTCCCTCCCTCTAAAGCAGTGGTTCTCAACCTTGGCTGCACATTAGAATCACCTGGGAATCTTTTTAAAATCCTGATTTCTGGGCCTCATCCTCCGGAAATTCTGTTTCTTTGTTATGGGGTGGGGCCACAACATTAGTAACAAAGAAACAGAATTTCCGGAGGATGAGGCCCAGAAATCAGGATTTTAAAAAGATTCCCAGGTGATTCTAATGTGCAGCCAAGGTTGAGAACCACTGCTCTAAAGGCTCCCTTTTTCTCCCCTTTTCCTGAGGAGGTAGCACAGGCAGAGAGGATATAAACCATAGTAAATTTCAGCTTATTTATCATATGAGTTAAAAGTCCCCTTGATGGCATCTTTAGTGTTCATTGACCAGTAGGAGGACAAACAGGACTCAACATGTAGCCACACTCATGGCCAAGATTTATTCCAGCAAAAGGGTATAAAGCAAAATCTGCTCAAGGAAAAGATGCATCGGGCACAGTCTAGATCCGTGGTCGGCAAACCGCGGCTCTCGAGCCACATGCGGCTCTTTGACCCCTTGAGTGTGGGTCTTCCACAAAATACCACGTGTGGGCGCGCACGTACAGTGCGATTGAAACTTCGTGGCCCATGCGCAGAAGTCGGTATTTTGTGGAAGAGCCACAATCAAGGGGCCAAAGAGCCGCATGTGGCTCGTGAGCCGCAGTTTGCTGACCACTGGGAGGAACCCAGGAGCAATCTTCTAAGAGTCCTCTTGCAGTGGAGTCACACAGGACACATTTAATTCCTCCAGCATCAAATTGTAACGTGTTAAGTGTTTTCTACCAGGGAAGCTCATTAGGGACATTGTACTGAGTGAGAGTGTTTTATTGGGAACTGGTCACGCTCCGCCTACCATACACCAAAATTCCGAACTCTGGAGGAAAGTAGGAGTTTAGAGTAAACCACTTTGTACCATCAGTTTAGGCACAGAGAACCATTCTTTTCAGTTATTGGTGGGAACCTTCCTGAAGTTCAAGTTCCCAGATGCCAGCCAAGGGTCAACCTTGCAAGCAGGCCTTTCTAAGGAGAGCAGACGCAGCCCTGTCACGTTCACTTATTTCTGCACATCATGATATCCGAAGGAGTTCACTTTTTCTTCTATTTCTTTATATAGAATATAAAACATTTAGACTAAATAATCTCTCTTTAGGAAATTTAGTAACAATCAAAATGTTTTGAGAATGAGTCGAACCGTTTAAGCAGATTGAATAAATGAGCTTATTTATTGAGACATTTTCTGAAAAATGCCTTGGAAATATTATTCCCAGTTTATGCTGACTTCAGTAACTACAAAAGTGGTTTATTTTATGGCAAATTTTTCTTAGGTATTTCATAAAATAAAAAATATTAAGGTAACGTTCTTAGTTTTCACTTGAAAAATATTATCACGTATGTAGCCCTCTGCTCCAAAGCAGACACTGAGTTTTCTTCACTTCCATTTTCAGTCTGAAGGGCCTGTTTGAAATGTGCCATCTTTGGGTTTGTTCTCGTAACCAACCTTTTCCCCCTCTTTTTTTTTATAGGCCAAGATGCTGAGTTGTCAGGGACACTTTCACTTGTATTGACACAGTGCTGTAAAAGGATAAAGGATACTGTTCAAAAATTGGCCTCAGACCACAAAGACATCCACAGCAGTGTTTCTCGGGTTGGAAAAGCCATTGATAAGGTATGGTGTTGAAGGGAGTGTTTGGTATTGTTAAGCATCATCCTTCATCTCCTGTCACTGCTTTGATAACATTAACTTTCTCAAATTATTCTATGATGTTCCTTTCATTCCTGCTTTTAATAACTTTTGCAGTTGGTTTTTTTACTGTTATTCTTAATTCCCTGTTGCTATTATTTAAAAATAAAAACAAACCAAAAAACACCTCTTTTTACAGCCTTGTTATTTATCCATTTCTTATATGAATACAGCAAATAAATTTTAAGAAATGTTTAACCTACTATGAAGGAGTTTGTTTACAGAAGTAACTTTTCCTACTTCCTGAGTAATTTCCTGGCTATGACTCTATCTGTGTGATGGGATGATTAAGAAAACACCCTGTGGCCTGGCCAGTGTAGCTCAGTGGTTGATCATCGACCCATGAACCAAGATGTCACCGGTTTCATTCCAGGTTGGAGCACATGCCCAGGTTGCGGGCTCCATACCCAGTGGGGGGCATGCAGGAGGCAGCCAGTTGATGTTTCTCTCTCATTGATGTTTCTAACTCCCTATCCCTTTCTCTCTAATATCAGTAAAACATATTTTATAAAATAGAAAACAACCCTTGTATTCACCTCCCCTGTACCATCCTAACTCATGTCTTTCTGTGTGCATGCTAATTGCCTTTCCTCAGTTTGCTTTATGTGTGAATAGCCAGCAAGGCCCGTCACTTGTGTTGGGTGATTTTTCTTGTAGCATCTCTTGAATCTTTGACTTCGTGGCTTACTTATAAGCAATATCATTTCTAGCACTGGGCCAGTGCTAGAGTTCATAGTCCTAGCGGGGCCTAGGAGAAGTGGCCTAAGGTGTGAAACTTCTGACCACTCAGCCACTGGGAAGTTTGTGACTGGTTATGGACATTTTTGTTCACAAATTGCAAAGTTCTGGGACAGTTGGAAGAACTTTTGTGGAGAACTCTTTGTAGCAAAGTCATTTTGTAACCAGTCCTGTGAGTTGCTTAGTCTGTACACAAGAGCAATACCTGTAATGTAGATAGAAACTCACGGAATCTAGAGAATGGCTCTAACTCATGGATAAACCTGTTAGAAATTTTCCTATGGAACAGTAGTATTGAAGGCTAAACTTGAGGCAGCCTAAGTCAGAACTGTATGCTTCTAAGGAGATATCATTAGCTGGTAGGTGCAGTATGTCAGGACCACGAGTGGCAGGGGCTCTGGGAACTCTTTGGGTAGCTGTGACCTACAGAAGTGTTAGTGACATTTCATGGTGCTGAGGGCTTCAACTCAGCAAAGGAAGTCAGAGAAGTGGTGTTGGTGGCAGCAGCCCCGTTTCTGGATCAGTGATGGCTGTTGCCAGCAAAGGGTGGGAAAGCTGTGCCTATTCTCTGATAGAGCTTTGAGGCTGGAATGCCTGTTTGGTGACTCCGAGGGAGTGAACACAGCTTGGGAGCAGGCTTTGGCTCAGACCTTCTGGGGCAATGGCATTGCAAGTCTTAGTTGTTACCTGCAGTGATTATTGCTGTGTGTTAGCCCAAGGACTTACTTGAATGGTGGTGAGGCACCTAGAGAAAACCCTCCGTTTCTCTAGGGTGAAGTAACCTAGAAGCCTCAAATTTCAGTGGCTGCCAGTGACCAAGGCATTCTAGTGACTTTGATGGTTCAGCCCCGGTGAGGTGGTCAAGATTTGCTTGACCACCATGTTGCCTGCAGAAGATGCCATTGGAGTGAGAAAAGCTGAAGCTCCCAAAGCAGCCAGTCAGAAAAAGTATCTGAGAAGAGATCACAGATTGTGGGAGTAGGCGGGGCAGCCTCAGCAACCACCTCAGGTGTGTGGACTGCCGCCTCCCAGGATCAGGAGCATTTGGGCAGAGTCACCAGCCTAGCATTCTAGCACTGGTTTCTCCATTTCCTAGTGTGTGTCTGTTGTCTGGTCCTAATTGTCATCTGGACCTTCTTTTACTCTTGTCCCCCCTACTGGCAATTTGCTGAGCATGCCTGCCACCTGATCTAGCAAATCTTTACACATATTCATAAGGGTTGTCAGATATTTTGGCTCATCTTTGAGACAAAGCATTTAAATATATTTGGTGCTGGAATTGCAGTACCTCTTTGAGAATGGATACCAAGGGAACACATAGTGAGTAATCTAAATTCTGGCTTTTTGTGTGGGGGATGGGTTTGAGGTGAATGTTCCTAATTATATACTTTTAATTTACTCATTTCTCTTTTGAGGACATTTTTTTTTTTTCATGTACTTGGAAGTTGCAAGGACCTTTTCAAGTAATTTTTCATTTTGGTAGTTTTATGTTCTTGTGAAAGTAGTTTAATTTCTAGGTGACCTAGATTCTCCTGATCCATTATATGAAACTATGTTACTAAGTTGATACTGATCAGTATTTAGTGAATTATAGTCTTAGTGCACGCGCGCACGAGCACACACACACACACACACACACACCCCTGGATCTCTTAGCCCAGTTCTCTAGCATCTTCTAATCTAGTGCATTCTTTCTCTCTCTCTCTTTTTTCTTTTTTTTTTTTTGCATCTACTTGGCCTCAGCTGTGGAGGAAGCTATTACCCCCTAGAACAGGGGTGGGCAAACTTTTTGACTCGAGAGCCACAATGGGTTCTTAAACTGGACCGGAGGGCCGGAACAAAAGCATGGATGGAGTGTTTGTGTGAACTAATATAAATTCAAAGTAAACATCATTACATAAAAGGGTACGGTCTTTTTTTTTTTAGTTTTATTCATTTCAAACGGGCCGGATCCGGCCCGCGGGCTGTAGTTTGCCCACGGCTGCCCTAGAACAACATAGACATTGTGCACGAGCTTCTCACAGAGACAAGGAATTCTGTGTAGGCTGTTGTTATATGAAACACCATTGACTTGTAGTCTTTTTTTTTCTTTAGTTTTGACCTAGTCAGTTTGTATAAGCTTTCAGGGCCACCTGTTATAAAGGCTTGGTAGACTTACGTGGATGGGTGGTGAGAACAGGATGAAGCTGAAGCCATTGTGACACAAGCCTTTAAAAACCACAACAAACAGACTTGAGTAATAAGCTGGAATGTTGTTCAGCAGCCTGTGAGCACCATGGACACTTGTTCCCACCCTCCCAAGAGGAGGCCATCAAAGAAACTGTGACTCCTTTGTGAGCTGGCTGGTTCTGAGTGAGGAACTTCAGTAAATTTGCTAAATGATGTTTGTTCCTTTAGTGTTTTAATGCTGCTTGTGTTTTAAAATTCTCTAGTTATCACTTCTCTGAAAATGTAAGCAGAAAAGAAGTTTGTGGTATTAACCAAGGTGTTTTATGGCTTTTTATTATAAACATAAAATTTGAAGATTTCTGCTTTAATGTGTTGACTATTTTCAGATGTCCAAAGTATTGCAATCACTGTTTAAAACACATAATATCAGCTATTGAGTTCTGTGGCAAATCTGTTTTTAATCCTCACTCAAGTATAGTTTCCCATTGATTTTTCGAGGGAGTGGAGAGGAGGGAGGAGGGGGGAGGGGGAGAGGGAGAGAGAGAGAGAAAGAGAGAGAGAGAGCGAGCGAGCGATTGGTTACTTCCTGCACGTGCCCCAACCTGGGTTAGGGAATCAAGCCTGCAACCGAGGTATGTGACCTTGACCAGGAATTGAACCCATGACCCTTCGGTCCGTGGGCTGATTCTGTAACCACTGAGCATACTGGCCAGAGCCTGTGGCAGTTTTTTGGTAAAAACAAATCATTTGTTAGTCTATTTTTAATTTTCTCCCCCATTTTAAGAAAATGTAGAACCCGCTCCTGTTTAGGGCATTTTATTTTTATTGTTTAATCCTTACCTGAGGATATTTTTTCAATTGATCATTTTTTAGAGAGTGAAAGGGAGGGGAGGTAGAGGAGGGGGAAGAGAGAGAAACATTGATGTGAGAGAGACACAGCAGTTGGTTGTTTCCCACACTCACTGCTTGCCTTGGCACATGCCCCAACCCAGGCCAGGGATTGAACCTGCAACCAAGGTTAGGAAATTAGGAAATTAGGCCATTGCAGGGTTGGTAATGTTTTAAGGGAGAAAATAATGGTTAAATATATTTTTAAAACCACATTGCCCTAACTCAGTGGTTCTCAACCTTGGCTGCACATTAGAATCACCTGGGAATCTTTTTAAAATCCCGATTTCTGGGCCTCATCCTCTGGAAATTCTGTTTCTTTGTTACTAATGTTGTGGCTTCACCCCATAAGAAATAAACAGAATTTCCGGAGGATGAGGCCCAGAAATCAGGATTTTAAAAAGATTCCCAGGTGATTCTAATGTGCAGCCAAGGTTGAGAACCACTGCCCTAACTGATCTTCTGCCACTAGATGGAGCATCTACACTAGTAAGGCAAATGCTGACTCTTAAAAAGCAAATGGAGTAATGCTATAAAAAGTGAAATATAGAATATTTTAAGGTAGTTCTGGTGAGCAGTTTATGTAGAATTGCCTTCTGTGTAGGTATGGTTGGGGTATGGGAGGAGAAAAAAGATACCAGTGGGAGATAATGTCTTGAGTTTAGCCTTAAATAGTAGTTTAGGTAGACTATGTGGGTGGGGTCAGATGTGTACTAGCTCTAAAGTTCTGTTATTAATGTAATGGATAAATCCTAATGTAGAGAGATGTTACTGTTAATGAAAGGAAAAGGAAATAAAAATAATAGAACATTCACTCAAGAAGAAAAATTGCTGATTTTTGAAATATAGACAGATACATATTTTGGGTGGAATTTTTAGGATTATTGAAAAGGAATAATTAACAAAGTTATCAAGAGACAACAGTGATTAAAAAGACAAGAACATAACATGCTCCCTGAAAATAAAATAAAACATCCAACTAAATCCCCTCCTTTCATAATTAGTAGCTAGTAATCCAAGAAAATATAGTAGACAATGTCTCTAAATTTTTGCAAGGCCACAATTGTTGCTTGGCCACAGTTATTTGTTACAGGGTGGGTGTCTCAGGGTCTTTCCCTGGTATCTTTCTT